TACTGTATTGAACAAAATGGTTATGCGGCCCGCGCTCGTCATTCTCTCAGTTATCTGGCCCGCTGTGAAAAAAGTTTGGTGACCCCTGACCTAACCTAATGAAGTCCTCTACCTTAAATTCATTGGTAATAATTACACGTCACGTTCACACCATAACACTCGTTGTCATATATGTAATGATATAAATAACGCTTATACCATTCGTACGTCTGCCATATCCCAACTGGCCTGATGAGCACTGGAATTGACGGAAGGCTTCGTAGGCAGTAGATATGTCAAATACAGCGTGGTTGGCATATGATTACATATTCTTCTTGGAATCGACAGAATTACACTGTAGTGTATTCTGTGCTGCCATCTGGTGTTCTAAGTTGTTCATTAAGCCCCAGATGGAACAGCTCTGCTCAAATAAATGTGCGAACTATTCTTGATAACAGATGAACAGTATATCGTTATTTTGTCAAAATATGTAGTACATACTGCAGAGATTTAAACACTTTGTTAGAAAAAAACGATTTTTACTCTCCAGATAATAATAAAAAAACTTCTAATTTCAGCCAACGTTTCGCCATTGCGACTTCATCAGGCCTAGTAGTACAAGAACTCAGCAATACGTACGTCACATAGATGGTTACGACACCTATGGTACATTACAATTTTAATATTCACTGAAAAATATATTATTTTTCTCACTTACCATTTTGTACCTCTCTCTGTGGGTAAGAATCGCATACAAGAGGAAGAAAAGCACCGTTTAAAAAGTTTAATAACAAATGTTTTACGCTACTTGTGGGAGTACTGTAAACCGTAAAGGCATGGAATTTGCTTGATACGTTACTTACGTAAACAATAACCCTCAAAATCTGAAGTTTATCTACAATTACTATTTTATTTTTCAAAATTCGAATAGTATATTGTACTTAGGGATAAATGTTAATAAATATGATCGTTTAGCGAGTAAACATTAAACAAAATGCAACAACTCACTCAGCGATGTCAAAACTGTAAGACTAAGAAAAAAAATCAAACAGAGATTTAAGTAGAGTTGCATTAAAACAAACAAATTCAGCCCAAGTTCGACCCCCTTTTTTTGGGGGGGGGTCAACTGTTGATGTGTGTGGGTCAACTATTGATGTGTGTGTGGGGCAACTATTGATGTGGGGGGTCAACTATTGATGTGTGTGGGTCAACTATTGATGTGTTGGGGTCAACTATTGATGTGTGTGGGTCAACTATTGATGTGGGGGTCAACTATTGATGTGTTGGGGTCAACTATTGATGTGGGGGTCAACTATTGATGTGGGGGTCAACTATTGATGATACCCTTTGTTGAAATAAGCGTGTAAGAACTATTGGGAAAAAAATAAAAAATCAGAAGTGTCGAACGTAAATGAACGAATATTGAAAACCTTCGGAATAGAAATATCTAGGCACGTGGTGAGATAACCATGGCTAGCTCAATATATTGATATATTTTAAATATAAAATTCATATTAATTTAACATTGAAACTAAAATAGAAACAACAAATGAAATAGACTCCTATTTACCATTTCCTTAGGTTGTTTAAATATTGATCTCTAAAGAAGCTGAATTGGCATGGCCTGGTGGTTAGGGCACTCAATTCGCAATCTGTGGATCGTGGGTTCGAAACATACTCTCATTTTCATGCTGGGTGAGGGGGAGCGTTATAATGTAACTACTGATTGATAAAAGAGTATTCCAAAAATTAGCATTAAGTGGTATTAGTTAACCGCCTTCCCTTCAGAATTAGGGACGGCTAACGCGAACTATCCAGAGCTCATCGGTGTACACTCGGGGCTTGGAATAGCCTTGTAATTACGGCACTCGACTCGCAATCTGTGGGGCGCGGGTTCAAATCCTTTCACTGAACATATTCGCCCTTTCAGCCATGGAGACGGTATAATGTAACAGTCAAACGCACTATTTTTTTTATTCTTTGTGTAGTAAACACAATGGCCTATCTGTGCTCTGCCCACCACAGGTATGTGTAGACATCGTTGTACCATTGGGGGGTATTTCAAATGGTCAAAATTGTGGGTATATAAAATAATTCAAATCATTCGTGTAAATCACATGAAAATAAAATTTCTATTTACGTATAAAACATTTCAAGTAGAAAATATGTTACCATGAAGTTGTAAACAAATACTGTTTCTTTTTGTTCTCTAACCTACATATTTTTATTCTTGTATATATAAGAATTATAATGAATATTACTGTTTTGATTTTCATAAGCTGACAATTTCTGTCAACGTGAGTGTAAATAAAGTAGATCCAGCAGGTAATATACATTAGGCTAAAGTGTTTGGCGCTTTTATGGATGTTATAGAAAAGGTGTTAAATTAAACGTCGTTATTTTGTGGATTGTTTTGTTAGTATTTTAATACATTCTCAAATAATAGAGCACAAGATCATCACCCATAATTCTAAGTCAGGTTTGTTCTTTAACGTTTAAATACTTAGATGTTAGTTAATTAATACTAAGTAGTAGTACCAGTACTGCAAGTAGCAAAGTAGCATGGAGGCTATGATGTTTTATTGATATTACTTTTACTAGGCCTAAATAAACAGTAACAGTATATAAGTTTAATGTTTAAAACATATGATTCGTGACAAAAGTTATTTGCAAAATGTATTTAATAACGAAAGTAACTCTGACGTATACCTTGCAATTTACACGCCTTTTCTTTAAATGTTTTTCGACATTAGTTTGTTATTAGTAAAAACCAAAGAAGTCAATATCTACTATAAGTTATAAATTATAATCTAGTAATACTGTATTGATGAGTACTGCTTTTACTGCTACAACTACTAGAGCTGTCATTGACACTGTCATAGTGTCAGGATTGAACCTAAGAAGTTCAAATCATGCTCAGTGTTTCACTTCAATAACTAAGAGTAATACTTATAATACAAGTTACCGTATTACCAGTGCTCGAAGTGGAGAGTAATGTGAAAGAAAGCGTACCCCCACTTCTTGTGCATGATCATCCCATTGTGGTGTGTGATTACAGATCGCGTTATCGGATAATATGCAGAGGATAATCATGCGTAAGAAGTGGGGGTACGTAAAATGCCAAATTAGAGAAGTGGGGGTACGCATACCCCACGCTACTTTCCACTTCGAGTACTGTGTATTATGTTGACGGTTGGTAAGAAGAATGAAGCACAAAAGCATTGAGATTGATAAAAGAGTAAAACATTTGTGTAGTTGGGAAGATAATTTTAATTTCCTCATTTTTTTTTGCCAGTAAATATAATATAAAAGTAAATATATTTATCGGTCTTCTGTATACTTCATCTTAGACCAGTTATTAAACATATTTATGGTTAGTTATTCTAAAATAAGTACATATACTTGTTTTTTCTAATGAAAATAATGCTGACATTAGACGAGAAATATTCACCGAGTGTCGGTGGACAAAGCAAGAATTGTATAATTTTATCTTTATAGAATAAATCTTCATAAAAGAAAAATCTTTAAAAATTAGGTTCGTGTTACGTAACATTGGGATAAAAGAAAAACGATCAGTTTTCTTTCTTCGCGAACAGAAGTGTGGAATGCTTTTTTCATAATCTCGGAGTTTTCATGCTTCAGTGTTTGTGAGTGACGTGAACATTAGAGATATTTGGCATGAATTGTATAATAGTCTTATAAAGAAGTATTGGCTAATTAATTTTTTAATAAAATATATATATATATTAAGAATTAATTTGACTGGTTATTACACCATCCTTATTGATGCATTTCTCCTGTCAGTTTATTGTGTGCAGTAATTTTGTTTCTCTGTGATGTTTTGTCATGTTTGAAAGACCATTATTATACTATTATTTTACTCTTTCAACATGTGTTAAAATTATTTGGAAAAATTATCGTATAAACTATGATGTTAATTCTAATAAAAAAGTAATAAGAATAATGACATTTTTTTTACTCCTGTCATCCTGTTAGAAAAATAAAACTGTCTTAACTGGAGTCTAGCCCGATTTTTCCAAATCTTAAACTAGTGATCTCTTGCCCTATTGTTAAAAATAGTGGCCTTTATTCTATTGTCTTCAGAATATAGCCCCCCCACAATACTGGCCTTTATATATAACCCCAAAGATATGAGCCTATATTCTATTGTCTCCAAAATATAGCCCCCCAAAATAGTGGCCTTTATTCTGTTGATCTCCTGGATAATTTCATGAGATCACCTCTTACCTTTCTTTTCTCAAGAGAAAATATGTTGAGATATTAACCTATTCCAATAAGACAATTCTTCTATCTCTAGATTCATCCTAGTCGCCCTCATCTGAACCCTTTCCAATAAATCAATATCCTCTCTTGAATATGGATACCAAGTCTGTGCATAATATTCCGTGTGAAGCCTAAACTGGTGATTTGTGTAGAGAGAGAATATACCTAAGCAACAGAGCACTGCCTTGATGGTGTAATTTCCACAATATTAAGGCCATTCTCTTTGAGTTGGTTCCCACCTATGTTAAATGTGTGATCCAAATTACAGTAACCTAAATGCATTAATAACAACATCTTTACTTATTACTTAAGCCTGAAATTATAATTAACTGTGTTACTATATTGTATTATTTATTTTATATGTGTATAAAAAGTACACTTCTTTTTATTTTATTTTATTTTTAGAGCCCAGAATAACTACTGGGAATATTTTTGGTCAAAGTTGTGTAAATTGTTCATGTACTTGAAAATTTAGCTGTAGTTGTGTAAGAAGATATCTAATGGCAACAGAAGATCCACCAAAACCATCTCAAGAAAGTGATAATTCAAAAAACACATCCCAGTCGCAATCCAGTGCCCAGTCATCTTGCCCAGTGACATCTGGTGGTGGGATAGTTTCCAAGTCTACAGATTCATCTAACACCTCTAAACCTGTAAGTATTAGATGTGTCACTTTGTTTTAATTATTATTATAATATCCTGCATATCATATCTGCTATCTGGGACAAATCTTACTTCAAAACATTGGTTATTCCTAGGCAGTTAGAGGAACTTGCTAATTAATTGATATCAGGCTCATAAGTTGATTACTTTAACTAATCAGTTATTCTCACATGAGATGGCTAATAAATGAAACAAATTTATTATGCAAAAAATCAGGTTTTGATACCTGTGGTGAGAAGACCACATATACTTCATTGTGTGACTGTGTCTCACAACAAACAAACAAACATAATGGCAATTATTTGGATAGTTCAAATAATCCAAAATAGTAATTATTGTGAGCCCTAATTTTGATTATTTTTGTGAGTTGTCACACTAATCGATTAAACTAAACAACCTTAAATTGATTGAAAACCGTAGTACAATATTTTGATTACTGGGTGGTTGGAATAATCGAAAACAGTAATAATTGGATTATTTTAATGACATTAATTGATTTAATTGTAATATTGATTACTGGATAGTTGGAATAATTAACAGCAGAGCCAGGAGACTAAAGGTAAGTCAGCTAGTCTACAGTCCAATCTTGGGCAACTCTAATCTGACCAAACAGAAGGATTTGATCATTCTTACACAATGCACGTAGCCCTAGAGTATAGAATGCAGTTTGTAGTAATGGGACACAAACCACAAATCCTCAGATTCACAGTTTAGGCACATGATCATCCTGATGCAGTATCAGAAGATAAAAATATAATACTTTCCAACATCAGTATTGTTGTCATCTGGTACCTAAAACATTTCAACATTTTGGACATAGAGCTGGTGATTAACGCAATCAATCGATTACTTATCAAAGTGTCATGAAAATATCACCAACTAATCACAATTAGTGTCTCCACTTATTAAAAAATGAGTCTCTGTAGATTGCATGAAAATTTTGAAATCTGACACAGAATCATGGCTAACATGTTTCATCTTGCTTACTGGCTTCACTTGATTCTTAGGACTCCAGTTTTTATCATTCAGTAATTATAAATGGCTCTTTAGTTATATTCTGTAGATCTATTAATGGTTACTATTTGTTTTGTTTTTTTCATATAAGTATTTATATTTGTAAAATTATTTTTAAAGAATTAAATTTAGGTAGTTTTAGTTTTTCTAGAGGCCACCGGGTTTAATAAAAAATTTTTTAACTTATTTATAGCTACGGGAATTTATATTTAAAGACAGAACTTAGCGAAAAATAAAAGTGAGGCCTAGCACAGTTACTGCTTGCACTCGTGAATAGCACGAGTCATGCAATGTGCTGGTGATCTACTACCATGATTGATTTGATTGGATGGAAATATAACTATTCAGGTGGGGGTACAAACTACAGTAATAAAATTATGTAACTGTTCAAGTGGGGGTACAAACTACAGTAATAAAATTATAGTAACTAGTTCAAGTGGGGGTACAAACTACAGTAATAAAATTATATAACTGTTCAAGTGGGGGTACAAACTACAGTAATAAAATTATATAACTGTTCAAGTGGGGGTACAAACTACAGTAATAAA